TGTGTGTGTGTGTGTGTGTGTGTGTGTGTGTGTGTGTTGGGGGGTAAACAAACATCTGCCTGACTTCATCTTATCCAGACAAAGAGCAGAGCAGATGGTCCCCCCCCACCCAGCCTAAGATGAGGGCCCTTTGGTACAAAGGCTAGTGTCAGCAGACAGTAAGTGCTGGGGGGGACGGGGCCCCGGTCTGCTCTGAGGGACAAAGGCGAGCAGCAGGACAGAGTCAACGCATCTAATCCCTCAGCAAGTCCAACCTCAGCAGTCATCTTGTCCAGCGTAGTGAGGCCAGTCACAGACAAAGACCAAGGGATGAATCTGATCTGGACTCCACAGCAGCTTATCCAAATATATGACAGAGTACTGCTGGAGTCTGGCTGTGGACCAATCAGAGCAGCACCAGCAACAAAAACATCTTCATGCTCTGCAGCAACATGTCGTTTAAAGGACAAGTCAAAGACACGTGGACGTAACTTCAAGTTGTGACTTGTTCAGGACGCACAACAAAARATTGCTTTTCAGTGTCAGTGATTGACAGGCTTACATGTGTCACATGATCAGGTAAATGATTCAAACGCTGTGACACCAACAGGTGGTAAAGGTGTGCTCCACCACCTGTGGTACAGGTACCACCAGAGGTCCACCACCTGTGGTACAGGTACCACCAGAGGTCCACCATCAGTGGTACAGATACCACCAGAGGTCCACCACCTGTGGTACAGGTACCACCAGAGGTCTGCCACCTGTGGTACAGGTACCACCAGAGGTCCACCATCAGTGATACAGGTACCACCAGAGGTCCACCACCTGTGGGACAAGTACCACCAGATCTCCACCACCTGTGGGACAAGTACCACCAGAGGTTCACCACCTGTGGGACAAGTACCACCAGAGGTTCACCACCTGTGGGACAAGTACCACCAGAGGTGCACCACCTGTGGGACAAGTACCACCAGAGGTTCACCACCTGTGGGACAAGTACCACCAGAGGTTCACCACCTGTGGTACAAGTACCATCAGAGGTCCACCACTGAGCGTCCTGTCAGCCTGGTCCTACCTGGCCTGGATGTGGTCAAACAGGTGCTGCCAGCGGGCGTTGATGTCCTTCAGCTTGTCGTTGATCTCAGCTTCTTTGGTTTTGTTGCTGGCTGTGATGAGCTGTTCTCCAAGCTGCTTCAGGTGAGTTTTATTCTCACTGAACAGATTGATCTCCTCCACACAGTCCTAATTTTGAAGTGAAAAAGGATGGAGTGAATGTTTGATAAAACATTGAATGACTCTGTTTCAGATGTTATTAAATGGTCAGAGTACTGTCCAAGTGTCCAGTCTTCCCTCTGCCCTGTACCCGAGTCTTTGAGACCAAAAAACTCAACCCCAGAGAAGGACCCATGTTTTTGCTGACTCCAGGGTTTTTACAAACATTGCACATCATATCTCACATCATATCTTGATATGCTACATTTTCTGGCTTCTGAGAGTAGACTTAAACAAAACAAGTAGCCAAAATTCATATAAAAACATTGAAAGACCTTCAGAAAGCCTGAATACTGATCAAAATCCCTTGTACTGATCCCAGTCGGTCAGCTGGGAACAGAGAACATAAAGAAATGAGGACTTCAAGACAAAACTCAATATGCAGAGGTTTCTGGTTCTCCTGATAACGGGCTGAGGTGGACCTGGATCGAGTGTGACTGTGACATAATGATGAGTAAATAAGGTTTTTATTTACCTCTTTCCTAGCTGACCCAGTTAATCATTCCCCTCCACATCTTATAGAAACGTGACAGGACATTAACTCTTCCTCTGACACATCCTGAGCTGCAGAGACTCACCTTCTTCAGTTTATCCACCATCTCCTCCATGTTCAGGTCAGAGTTGTGCTCCCACTTGTTCTCCATCTGTGTGAGCCAATCACAGAGCTCCTTGTTCTTCTCATTGAAGATGATCCATGTGTTGAGATGGTCAGTGATCTCCTGTTTCTTCACAGTCACCTGACATTAAGAGGGTTGGAATAAACATGGTGGTTTTCAGATTCCTGAGTGGGATCAGATTCAGCCTTGGCTGGTTGTTCTTTTCTGGACATTTCATTCCAACTTTCTTCTGTTTCACATGTAAACAGTGAGTCTATTAAAGCCAAATTCAAACTATCTGCTCTTTGGGACTTGCTTCAAAAATATTTTTTCAATGTATGGTTTGTACACTGCCTGGCCAAAAAATAAGTGGCTACAAACAAATAAGATCACACTCTCTAATATTCTGTTGGACCTTTAGCTTTGATTACATCACACATTCTCTGTGTCATTGTTTGATAAGTTTCTACAATGTCAGCAGGTTTATTTCATCCAGTGTCGTGTTAATTCTTCACCAACATGTTGCATTGATGATGGTAGAGTCTGACCTTCACCAGCACATCCCAAAGATCCTCAGTGACTCTGTGGAGCCAATCCATGTGTGGAAATGATGTCTCATGCTCCAAGAACCACTCTTTCACAATAAGAGCCCCATGAATCCTAGCATTGTCATCTTGGAATATGGCCGTGCCCTCAGGGAAGAAACCATTCATTGATGGAATAACCTGGTCCTTCAGTATGTTCAGGTAGTCAGCTGACCTCATTCTGTAAGCTGAACCTAGACCAGACCACCTGCAGAGACCCACATCATTGACCTGAGTAACATCCAGGTGGACACGGTTTGGCCAGGCAGTGTATGTTGAAGATATTTGACTTTTAGGTCTAATCTTTCTTATTTTGTCTTCCACTTCTAAGCAGTGCCAGCATACAGTACGTCAGGTTTTTGGCCCATAGTTCCTTTTGGGTTTTATCTTTGGGTTTATGGCTGTTCTGTTTGAAATATTTTCAGATGCAGCTAAAGAAATTGGCACTGTGTTTGTTTGAAGGAAGTTACTTCAAAACAAGAGTCAAAGGCTGCAACTTAACTTTTTGATTTTTCTCTAAAAAAAACCTTCAGTTCAGTAGCTTTTTATGTTTGTTGTGTGACAAAGTGACGAAACAAACAAGATCAGAAATCATCAGAAAATGTTCAAACACAGCAAAAACATGTCTGGCTGCCTGGAAACACTCAACAAAGATGGGGAATGGATCAYGAAATTTGAACAGTTTTAAGTTTTTTTCTAAAGTTTTGAAAAGGATCCTTGATTCTCCTGAAGTCCCTGCCTTGGTGTCACCATCTGTTCCCTCACCTCCTCCTTCAGGCTCACCTTGTAGCAGAGCTCCTCCCACTGCCAGTGCAGGTGCTCCACCTGCTCCGGCAGCAGCAGCACATCGTCTGCCATGATGTACCGGGCCAGATCCGTTTTCATGGTGCTCAGCGCCGTCAGGCTTTCAGCCCAGTCCTCCAGGGAGTCCTCGTTCTCCTGCATACCATGAGACACACACAGCGAGCTGTCAGAGAGACTCGTCCACAAACACCGACACCGTCCCTCTGCTCAGCTGTCTGCTCGTCTCTCTGCCTCGCCCCGCCCACAGAGAGCATTATGGGCCACAAGCTGTGGGCCGGGCCGGGTCTGGAGGGGGAGGGGTGGCAGATGAGAGGGAGGATGGGTCAGAGTGAACCTGAACAAGTCTGCCATTAGAACCTGAACCAATCTACCATCAGAACCTGAACCAATCTACCATCAGAACCTGAACCACAGTCTACCATCAGAACCTGAACCAATCTACCATCAGAACCTGAACCAATCTACCATCAGAACCTGAACCACAGTCTACCATCAGAACCTGAACCACAGTCTACCATCAGAACCTGAACCAATCTTCCATCAGAACCTGAACCAATCTACCATCAGAACCTGAACCACAGTCTACCATCAGAACCTGAACCACAGTCCACCATCAGAACCTGAACCACAGTCTACCATCAGAACCTGAACCACAGTCCACCATCAGAACCTGAACCACAGTCTACCATCAGAACCACATTCATTAAATGGGTTGTAAGTTGAAAATGTTTTTGTCAGAACCTGTTTGGACTGTAGATGAACCAGTCTACAGTCCTGGAGCTACTCTGTGTCAGCGTCAGTGATGCAGAATAGAAACATTTTCAGCCATTTTTTTAGTTTGGTGTTTAATGGTGGAAATAGCTCTCGATGTGATCTGGCATTGTTTAAATTAAAATGACTACATGTCATGAAATTCTTGGGGGGGTCTCATTGACAGGGGGAGGTCGCCCCCTTTTATAATGGTAGAGGAAATYCTGCATTGCACATATATTTTAGTTATTAATGTAAGCCAAATGTCTATGTAGACACTAGGCAGACTAATGTTAAAACCTGTCTGTGTATTTTAATGACAAATGTCCACATGTGCCACCTGGTGGCCAAATTTGGTATTACACCCAAATCAGCCAAACTTCAGGCAATTTTAGCTCTGCCCCTGTAATAATGAAGGGTCAGGGTTAGTGAAATCATTAAGGAGTGACACTCTGTTTTTATTGTTGTTGATGTTTGCTGTATTGACTGTGGTCCATTAATAATAAAACACTTTATATCAGTAAAATCCCAAAAAGGTTCTAAGTTGTCTAACAACCCATCCTAAGTCCACAACAAAAGGTTTTCAGTGAAGACTGGCTGATGCTTTTTTCTTGTTGAATGTCCTAAAGCATCTAAGTAATCCAACTAGATAATAAAACAGGTAGGTCCTCTGGATGGGTTATTCTTTAACAATGATCTGTTGTTAGGCTGATGGTCCTCTTGTGACAACAGTGTTGATTGTGATCATTGAACCTGTTTGTCACCATGTGGAGGCACTGCTTCCATCACAGAGTTTATTTKTTTATTTCTTAATMAATTGATTTATTTACTGTTATTTAAGCAGTTCACCTAAACCTCCTCAGACTGAAGAAGTCTCTTGGAGGAGAGACGAAACGGTTAGAAGAACCCGTCCAGAGGACCTACTTAAGTTTTTTCACCTTGTTGAATGTCTCTTGGCTCTGCAGGTCAGAATCAGAGTCTGACACCGGCTGGTCCAGTCTGCTTCTCAGGTTCTGCAGCAGGACCATGATGTTTGTGACTCCAGCCTCACAGCACTCCCAGTTCTGAAACACAGAAACGAGTACCTGTCCTCAGAGCAGAAAGAAAGCAGTTGAGCTCTTTTGTCTTGAACTTAGTGAAGCTCAGTTGTTAATTAGAGCTGATTGGATTAACATGTCTGCAGCCCTGCCACACAGATGGACTGTCTTTATATTTAGACACAAAAGTCCAGGTAGACTTTACAGTCAGCTGAAACAGAACAGACCTGCACCTGCAGACATGATGCTGTTGACAGCATGGTGGCTCAGTGGTTGGCACTGATGCCTCACAGCAAGAAGGTCCTGGGTTAAATCTCCAGTTTGAACCTGGGGTCTGTGTGTGGAAACTGCATGATGTCCATGTGTCTGTGGGGGGTTCCTCCCACAGACCAAAAACAAGGACAGTAGCTGCCTGAAAATAGCCCTGTGATCTGACTGGGATCTGCCTAAACAAGGTCAATACTTTAAACAAAGAAAAATCTACACACTAACTTTTAGGGTTTGAATGTTAAGGGCTCGACACACAGGGACCGACAAACAACAGTGATTAACAGCTGTCATCACAACCAGGGTGAAACCTGACACTATTGCAGTGTTGTGAATCGCTCTCGGATCGCTTGTC